GCCAACAGCAACCAAGAATGCTGCTTTTAGAAGGGATACCGCCTTAAAAGCTGATAGGGTATATAAGCATTCCCTCCACAATCAAACCCGAAAATGCCTTGAGGTGGTGTGGTTGGGGCATCATCAGTTTCATGTCAATAGGGCGCCCCATGAATTAATGAGTTCCCTCGGGAATTGACCGGTGAACAGCGAATTTTGAAGCGGATATCCAGTGACTCTATGGTGGGGTATGGTGGGGTATAGTGGGTTTCCTTTGGCCATGGGAAAGGGGGCACCTAATTTTTGAGAACCACTTCAAATGGTGTTATCTTCGGATAATTGTCCAAGAACCCGTGTCGTTGCCTTGTTTGGTCCATGCTTCTCAAGTTTCCCCAGAGCTTAAGGACGCCAACCCCGCTTTGTCGCCTTCCACTTCTCCTGGCGACTGGGCCACTGCAAGGGCAATGATCCGTTGTCAGGGTTCCCCCCAAGTTTGGCCACCCAGGTGTGCTTTCGGGCAGGTCTGCCCTCACCCCTGCACGCTGTTCGATTGATTTGTGGCGCGCTCAGGTACGCAAACAGCTCTGGAGCCCCTAGCTCAGAATCCTGTGCGGAGAAGAGTCAGCGGCGTTTTGGATAGCGGCATTTTCGGTAGTCCCCAGGTATCCCCTGGCCTCTGATTTAGCTCTTGCCAGTTTCCGGGACTCTTGGCACGGCGCTTAAAAGCGGCCTCAACCTTGGAAAGGTCAATCTGATTGCGACTTTCCGCTTGGTCCGGCTCAGGTGTCAGCCTTCCAACCAGGGTCGCAGGGGTCAACATATCCAGTAGTGTGTGTGTGTGTGTGTTCTATTTGGGCTGCGCGTGGGGTCAATAAGTCTCCAGCAGCAAATCACGGACCCACATCTTCCCTGCTTGAAGATAACAGCATATTTGGACAGTGGCTCATGTGATGGGTAAAGGTCACCTGCAGACACCCCGTGGGTTGCTTGCTTGTTTTTCAATAGAAGTCCCTTAAAAGCCAACTGCCAACAAAAGCTGGAGCCCCTTTTGTCATGGACAGGGGCCAGGAACCCTGCTCAAGGTCAAGAAGTCCTGAATGCTTCAGGTCGGAGGAATCACTTTATGCTTTATATATTTGGTTGGATCTTAGGACTTAAATGTTGGTTGAAACATGCACATTGGACCCACAAAAAGTTAGAGGGGCGGTTACAGCAACCAAGGAATGGGGAAGGAGCTGTTCGCAACTAGTTTGGTGGCTTGCCTCACGCCAAGAACATGTTTAAACGGCAATTCTTTGTTTAACGATCCAGGTTAACTTTCATAGGCCAGCGTTTGTGGATTCCCTTTACCAGCCAACAGAGGGCTAGGTATTGCAGCCTCCTTTTCTAAAACCCACCAACACACAAAGGGTGCCCCGCGATGGCCACAAAACTGACAAATTCGAATCCGATCCTTTGGTTTTCAGGTATTTCGAAAAAATATCCATGGCCAGGTGCCAGGAAGAGTTTCAAGTCGAGTCTGAAGGGATGCTGGCCCGGCACCCAATTACCCAATGCCAACGGGTGAACTGCCCACCGGATAGGTTGGGATTCTCTTGCGCCAATTGGGGGGGGGGGTAAAGGGGTAAAGCTTACCAAAAAGGGGAGCTGCCCAACCAATCCAGAAGTACTCACCTTCTTGGGGGTGCAAGAAATCCCAGTCTCAGTTGTTCAGTGGCACCCTGTTTCCCTTTTTTTGGTGGCTGCCAAAACTAAAAATGGTCTTCCCAAAAAAGGGTTGTCTTTTTTTCTCCAGGGTCACTGAACAACTGAGCATTGGGCAGAATCTGGGAAGTTACCTTTTTGTTTTTGAAATTGTTTACCCAGCTGTTCAGTAGTACCCTTCCAGGAAATCCCCGTTTTTTGTGCGAAACCCGGCTGAACTGTCACCAGACAGTTCCTGGAAAATGACACCACGGGGGGACTCTTTTCTGGCACCCTACAAATTTGCGCTATCTGGAAGTGAACATGCGCTCAAGCTCATTGGGCACCCAAGCAATATCGAAGCTGTTTGCGTGTGTGACTGTTCTGCGTCAATCCCGATTCCATCCTTGATGCGAGCTTTCTTTGGATAAGGTTTGATGGTGGATCTGTCTTGCTTTCCTTTCCAGAGCCTTCCTTTTTCTAGAAGGGGTTTTGTTGGGCGGACCCGGTGTTTCGCAAGGGGTCGTTGGTTCCGTTCTGTGTCTTAATAAGGGGTCCGTCGCCCGGCACCCATTTCGGTGGGTGACAAGCATTCAGGTTCTTGTCTCACACCATGCAGGTCTCGCTAATGTCCCTTGTCCTCTTGGCGGGACCTTGGTATTTTTGACCGTATCTTATCAAGTAACACCCCGAAAAGGGTTTGGGTTGGATTTGGATTTGAACCCCCTGGTTCTTGCGAAGGGCAAAGGCGGCCCCTCCCCTCCCCCCCCAAAGCACCAACTAGAGAGAAGCTTAAAAGCGGTCCACCCCAAGTGCTCCTTTTGGTGCGTCTAACCCCAATGGGTGGGCTGAACAGCGCAGATCATTCTGCTTTTGCATGGTAGGTTTCCCTTGGTCATGGACCTCCAAGGCCAAGGGGGCCTTCACCGGGAAAATCTCCCTGGAAAAGTCAGGGAGAAGGCACTAAGGTCTTATTGGGTGGGGTTTCCCACCCCCGGACCTCCAAACCAAAACCACAAATCGGTGGGACGCTGACTTGCAGTGAACACCTTGCCTGACCCGTGCCTGCCGCCGTGCGCCCAACGGCTTTGGCTCAGACTCGCTTAATCAGCGCGTGAAAATCGCGCGCAGTCGATGTGACAAGCTTATCCCCTCCAAAGTCTTGCAAGCTGCAAGGATGGCGGACGACCCCCAGGACGCGCAAGGGGAGAATGTATGTAATTTTCCCCTTTAGGAGGCTGCCTTGGATGGTTCCCATTTAGGGAGTCCGGATCACGTTTCGCCATCGTCTTGCTGGAGCCGTCTGTCTGGTGTTCCGTGTTGCCTTTCCCGGAGAGAGGCCTGGGTCGACCGCCAACCGCTGAACATATCCAATCAAATGGTTTTCCCGGCCATCGGCCTACGTGAGTCGACCAATTTTCGCATTTTTCTAAGGGCGCACCAGACACCGCGCCCCGCCCAAATCCATGTTCTCTCTCGACGGGTCGAAGGGGGGCCTCAGAAATGGGGGACCAAGGGACATAGACTTGGAATCTGTGGCCTCCTGGGGATCGAGCTCGATGTTAGCTCGAGCTGCAACTGAACAATTCGATGCCAAGTTCACAGGAACTTAACCCCCTGGGCTGCATTTCTCAATGGACCTGTCCGAATTAACTTCCCTAAGCCGGTGGGGGGGAGGAGAGGGGCACACCTCACACAGGAGTCCTTTCCCACAGATGTCCGCCTTGCTGGGTCCAAAGCGCATGAAATCTCCACCCCTTTTCCCAGCGGCTTCGCCTTGGTGCCTGGCAGTTGCACAGCCCCCGTTCGTTTCAGGGCCCAAGTGTAGCGGCAAAAACCGCCATGCATATTGTTGAAGCATGTATGGACTATATGTATATGTTACATGTCCCGTGGGACATGATATGCGTGCAGCTACAGCGGAACAGCCCCCTTACTAACAGGGGAGACAGAACTTCTCCCCTTCCGGTGTTGTTGGCTTCAGGAGGACGAGTTTGAGGACGAGGAGGATGACATGCCGGAGCCTACGGACAAGTTGGACTGCGACGAGTTCGTCGACACTTTCGGGGATCCCCAGGCAAGCGGGGGAGGGCGTCGTCATCGAACACAATTGCAATTAGTGCCGCCAATCATGGCAAACGCAGACGACCCCAGACCCGCGCGTGTGCTGCGGCCGAGAAAGGTGGACGGTTGACTAAACCGCCCGCAAGTGTTGGTTTCTTTGAGATCTTCTTGTCGTTGCTTTGTTTGCTTGGTTTTCGTTTTGTTCTTGTTTTGTTTGTCGTTTTTTGCGCCAAACAGTGTGTTTTGAGTCTGAGTGTGCTGTTTTGTTTCGCATTGGGAGTTGACACTGGGTATTGGCTGGCGACAAGAGATGAGGTTGTCATGGTCAATATTATATACCACACTATCAGGCAAGTAGGCGAAGCCCACTCGAATCGGCCTGTTGAGTTCCAATCTCATGTGCCAATCTATTCACTACAAATTCATACAGACAGATAAATACCATCTCACTTGTCTTGTCGCCTTTTTGGATGGCCATGACCGTATCTATTGTTGCAATAACTTATCATATGACCCAGGTATAGCTTTACTCCCAAAAAGACCCCCCCTCCAAAAAAAACAATAAATAAATCACGTATCATTTTGTATCAGCCCCTTGTTCAGGTCTCTGTATTGTCTCGGGAGAAAGCCGGAAAAGAACAAACCAGTGTTTCTACCTTGTTTGTGCAGGTTGCCCGGATCTGCCGCAGGCTTCGGCACGCAGTTGATCCCGTAATTACGTCCCCACTTGCTCAGCACCTGCACGCAACCAATACCAACCAGCAGCCCCTTCCGAGTTGGGCCCCTTTGCGTCGCGCGTGTGCGCAGTGGCTAGCAGGGAGCCCTGACGCAAAGCGCACAAGGCCAGTGCCCAAACGATATGGCTGCCACATGGCACTCTTGACCGAAGGGGGACCAACCAATCAAGAAACGTACACTCCACTTATTTTTCTCTTGAAGGGAGCATTAGTTGTTACCAGAGGCAAACACTCCGCGGTTGGGTGAGACTATGTGTCTATGCGAGCAGGCTGGGGTTGCAAACTGGGCAGGGTGCGAAAAAGCACTTGTGACTTGATCAAAGGGCACCACACGAGCATAGATCAGATTTGTGCTTTACCCCCTACTTAGCACCCAGTGGGCCAACCAACCCAAAAGTATCCAAAAGTGTTGCAAATCCTGCTTTTGGGTCACTGGTTCCAACTACGTCTTACCCTTTCCAGTGACTATCTCGCCCTTGTTTTCCGGAGTCCCTTATTTCACCACAGTGCCATGCTTTGCCATGGAAGCCAGCGGAAATTCAAGAGTGGAAGTTAGCCAAATACCCACCAAACCAGTGGTCTCTTGATTTGATTGAGGGTCCGACTCATAACATTTGTTGCTCGTCCCTAAGTGCTTGTTGATGCGGGTCTTTAAAGCCCCCAACATGGATTTCGGTTCTCCTTTTGTTTCCCTTGAAGTAAATCCAACCAACAATGCACTTGGCACCACCAACTCAAAGCAATATAGGTAACACCAACCCCAAAGAGGTGCCAACTCAAATCAATATAAGTAAAACCAGCCACAAAAGGTTGCCAACTCATTCTATGACAAGACGGCTTTCTCGGCGGATACAAGAGTACTTGAGAACAAAACGGTGTGCTAGGCAGAAAAGGATGTTTGGATGTTCAGAAGTATGTTTGGATGTGTTTAATGCTGCAATACAAGTAAAATTAGCCAAAAACGGGGACCAACTCGGAACAACAGGATCCGGCCATTTGGGGAGATCTCGGTAGTTCAGCACGTCGGTCTCGAGGACTACGGGGACGTGCTGGACGTGTCGGCCCTGGAGATCCCCATCGATAGCTTCGAGGAGCTCCGCATTCCGGAGCCGCAGATCGTCAAGGTTCAGGCGATTTTGGTGACACGAGCCGGGCGGAGCCTAAGTTTTGTTTATGTGTTTTATGTGTTTTATGTGTTTTATGTGTTTTTGTGTGTTTTATCTGTTGTTGTTTTTTTTTGTTGTTTTGTTTTTCCCCAACAGCTGCAAGCTTTGGGGTCTCAGCCCAGATAGGCTCCGGGGTGAGGTAAGGTTCCACCAGGGTTCCACCAGGGTTTTACGAGGGTTGCACGAGGGTTCCACGAGGTTCAGGGCTGCGGGGTGGTGCGAGCACTAAAAAGAGCAAATGCTGTTGGGGATATCGCCTGAGCTATTTTTTTTTGGGGAGGGGGTTGTTGTGCATTTATTTGTTTTGCTTTCTTTTTTTTCTGGTGTGTGTGTGTGTTGCTACTGCAGCTTTTGGGCTTCATTTAAATTTGCGATTTTTAGAAGGCCACTTTAGTGGTAAAAGGCAACTTCAGGTCTCTTTTGTTCGACACACCCACTTAGGAAGGGAGGAGTCCAAATGTCAACTAACCTGGGCAGGCATTGAAAGCTGAAGCGCGTGTTTTAAACTGATCCCCACCTCCTTAAAAATGGAACGGGGTGGACTTCCACCCCTCACCTCCCTCTCCCGGAAGGTAGGGGAGATTTAAAGTGAGTTCACTGTGGGGTAAGGGTTTTTGGTTGGAGACATAGCTGGAGCGCTTCCTCGGGTGTATTTTGGTTTGCCCGTGCATCCAATTCTTTTATTGCGACCAATAGCAGGTATGATTATGGTCGGTCGAAGGGAAGCCCGCCCATTGGGGGGGGGGTCCCTTCTTCCTTTGCTTTTTTGTCGGGGGGGGTCTTTGCCTTCTTCACTTAGGTGTTATTTCGGCGGGGCCGTGGGGCTCAGTTGCTTTGCCTGAGCTAAACGGCAACCAATGAGCTTCCCGGAAGGAAAAGAGGGGGATTCGATGTTCATGTGTGAAAGACCTCCAGGCTTTGTGTTGGACGCCTGCTAGGTCCAAGACCATGCGCATTGCGCAAAACGCGGACCCAAGCGCAAACCAGGGCTGTTAGAGACCGCCTACTACAAGACGGCAGTGTTCCAGTTTTTGGGCATCATGTGCTGTTTCGGTTAGTCTCCTCATGCTGGCTGGGGCCTGCCCCAAAGAACAAGCACAAAGCTGCATGGCTACATTCCGCGAGAAAGAGAAGATGCCCGAGCATACCAGCGACCGTAGTCCAGCTGCCGAAGCCGCGCAAGGTTTGCATTGGGATGACCCGGTCCTCACATCCCAGTTGCCCAAGACTGGTTTTTGTCTGACTCGGTACACATTTAGTCAAGGCCACAAAAGGCCAAATGTTCCAGCCTTTGGGCATGTGAGATCTGGACTGCGGAACAACTCAAAGCTCCTGGACTTGGACTTGATGCCATTGACCCAGCAGGGACACACGAACACATATTTGTATATATACATATATATATGTATATGCAGTATGTACACATATATTCACACATACATATATATATATATATATTTGTAGACGTATAATGCACACGCGTCTATATTTGTTTTCTGCCTATCTTTGCGTACCAACCTTGGTTGTTATTCAAAGAGGATCCCATGGGAACAAATGTACTTCAGGCTCCCCTATAATGCAGTCAGTTGACGGCCAAACCCAGGCAAAGTGACAATCTCAGAATACGGTGGATGCCAACTCTAGGCAACACAGGAAGCCATGTTGATTCCCAGGGTTTGGGGTTGATTTACTTGCTAAAGTAAGGGAATCCACCGTATTTTGGCGAACGCCCACTCCCCAAAGCAAATTTGACAAGATCTTTGCTGTCAGGAGCAGCAACCATGCCAGGTTTGCAATTGGCTGTTTGCAAGGGGCACGTGGTTACTTTGTATTTTGTGCATGTTTTTGCGCATGTAGCCTCCTATAGCCTCCTACTAGGTTGATTCGTGTATTGTTCGGGTGGCTTTTAGGTTATATTGTGCATATCCTTTCATCACCTTGTTGGCCTTGTATTGAGGGGGCGTTCCTTTGGATGGGGCATCGCTCGAAGACGCCAACCGGCGGTGCTTGCAACCGCCTCTCTTCTTCTGGATTCGCCAGGCGTAAGTCTTCCTGGCATAGGTGCTGCTGACACACCCCATAGGCAGTACAAGTAGACATGCTTATGTATAGATTTGCGCATGTACGTTTGGTGCGTACGCACATATGCATCTGCTTGTTCATATCCATTGCCCAGTCCTGCAGCCGCTTGCAGGCTGGGTGGCAGCTGTTGCTGAGCAACGCGGGATCCAGAGACTTGGCCTACCTTTGATTCAGAGCCATATGCTTTGGGATTCGCATCGCCGGAGGTTTATGGCCCTGGTGCGAAAGGTCTCTGAATGGTCGCCCCCAATGCTCTCTCCATCTCTCTCCCCTTGGTGTGGCTTGGAATCGGTACCGGAGCAACTTAGAACAAGCTCACTGAAGGTCGAAACTGGGGTGGTTCCCACATCTTCCGTGGGATGTTTGGGGGGGAAACAACCTGTATGTGTCAGAATGGCCGTTTTTCATGGGCAGTCTTCGAATCAAGATGAAAAGGGCTTCCCTCAAAAAGCCGAAAGACCCGCCATATGGGTGTGGCTCAAAATGAAACGGAAGGGGCAAACCATGGCAAACCGCAGGTTTTGGTCCATGTTTCCACTTACCAGGGCAACCCATTTTACCGGTTTTTGGAGGGAGCTGTTGGGCAGCTTTCTAATCAAGATGACAGGGCTTCCCTCAAAGCCCCGCAAAACCCGCCATAAAATGGGGAGCTCTTTTTCTCTCTCAGGAGAGGCGGCAGGCGAGGCGGTCTACTCCGCCCTCTTCGAGGCGGCGCCCAGCTTGCAGAGCCTCTTCAAGACGCCGCGGGCGGCGCCTTCACGTCGACGTGGGGCGAGTCGTTCCGGGCGATTCGCCCCGGGGCGGGCGCGCGTTGTTTTTCTTTTTTCTTCCGTGCAGGTCGGATGGGCTTAAAAACAGGCGTGGGGTTCTGTCATTTGTTGAAGGTGGGTTGTGTTTGAAGTGAAGCCAGAGGGAAAGTACACCTTTTTTATTGGGGGGGGTCCTTCTAGCCCGGTTTGAAACGCGGCGGCGTCTATAAGGGGGTCCCTAAATCGCAACAACTGGCAGCCATTGGTTTAAATGGGATTATGAGCCTAGGTGGCAACAGTTGGCCAATTAATTGCATCCAAGAGAGTGAATGATTCAATTATGTTTATGCCTTTTGGTGGCAGTTTCCCTTGAAACCACAGTTCCCTCAATATGTTGCCTATGGCCCCTCAGGGAAACGTATTTTTGGGAATTAGTCAAGTTAGCCAGAGAGGGTAACGTCCCTAAAACCTGCGTTTCAAGAGTGCTAACATTTGTCGCTTCGGGGGCAAGTTTGGAAAACTCGCATATAATCTTGTGGCCATTGGTTTCCTTGCCCCAGACACATTGTTGTTGAGGGGGTTCTTTTAACAACAGCTCCCAAAAACAGGGTGCCCTTTTTTTCTGATGGGCCACTGGGCGTTTGGGTTGTAAAACGAATAGCAGTTTCTGCGAACCTGCAAGTTTCACCCCCGAAAGCCGACAAGGGAACTCGCGCTCCAAAAACACGGCAGGCCCTTAGGACTGCGTCCCTAAAGTGGGTGGAGATCCTTTTTCCGGACAGGATGTTTCTTCCAACGCCACTTGGAGCCTGCTGGAATCCTTTTGGAACCATGCAACAATGGGGGTGGCTATGCCTAGGGTTATAACCCTGGAACCACCAGATCCATTTAGGACCTACGAGTTGGTCAAACCCCCATTTGGGTACGCCCCTTTTTTATGGCTTGAAAGTGAAACCAAAAGAAACCGCACGCATTTCACGGGCTTCGCTTAACAAACAATTTCTCATCCAACCACTCCCAGCTTTGCTCCTTTTTCGGCGCGGCGCGCGCGTTTCTTTGTGCGCTTCTCAGGTGCAGGGCATGAAGTTTGCGGATGCCATCGGGGTCATCATCTCTAAACTCCGGGATCCGGAAGAGGTGAAGACCATCGTCGACACCCTCAGCCCGGGCCTGAACCGGGTCAAGGGGGGGAGGGGTGGGGTTGTACGTACACCCGCAGCCATTTCCAAGCGTGTCTAAATGTAGATGTGTTTTTTTCCCTCCGGGGTTGCCTTGCACATGGAATGCGTTGTTTTTCTTGTTGGGCCTGTTCCAGGAACACCACGGAAACACCACCTTGCTGGACGTTCCTGAAGGAGATAAACCCATATCTGGGAGCTTCGGATTGAGGTTGCTACATACTTGTGGGGGTAACTCCTTTGGACGGGGCTCATTCATTTTCCAAAGGTGCAAATCTCTGGATGCATCCGACGGCCGAATGTCAGTCCCTTGCCAACACGAGACATCTGAATACGTTTGGTGCACCCCGGGGTTGGACCAAGCTTGGAGCCGATCTTTTGCTAGGAGCCGACTCAGCTGCGCAAAGACCGGAAATACAAAGTCGGGAAAGATGTTAAAGACATGTGACATGGGAATTTCAAGGGGGACCAAGAGGCAACAAGCAATTTCAGGGGCAACGACATGAGAAACGGACAATACTACCAAGGTATCGGTGTTTGGCAATCCATGTCCTATCGATTTTGCAGGTTGGTAGGTATCCATGTTGGGTAGCCCCCTGTGACACAGCATTGCATGACTGGTTGTATAAAACACCTTGCCGCGGATGGGCGAAATCCTGCACTGCCTAAGACACCCTGGAATGAGGGCTTCACTGTAAATAATGTCCAACAAACAATGGTTTCTCGTGGTTTCCCCATTTTGGTGCAGGGTTTCGTCCAGGGCATCTTGCAAGTTTGCGCTGCATGCTCTTGATGAACCCGAAGGTTATTTACGCAGCGTGTGGCACCAGACACTGCCCTACAAAGTTCGGAGTGCGACTTTTTCTCGGGGGAACTTCACTGTTCTTGAGCGCCCAGTTCAAGACCTTCCCGCTCATGATTGTTTTTGTGTCCCGCTTACCCATGTTAACACCCAAAAAGGTTGGGCTTTTTTTTTCTTTGCAGAGCACGGGGAGCGGTTGTGCTCAGGCCGGGGCTTGCAGTTTTGCAGGGTTCCCCATTTTGAGGCAGATCCTGGCAGATCTCATGGGTCGGTTTCAGCGCGCTGCTGTCGCACTCGTCCCACCAACCGTCCAAGCGGGTCTTCCGAGCAACCCTGGCTTTGCGCGGCACGCCGAAACAGGCCAAGAGAAGCAACCATATTCGAATTAGTTTCCCTGGTGAAGCAAATTGCGGCAAAGTACAGGGCGCCCTGGTTCCCTTACTTGCTCAAGGAGAGGAAGCCCCAAACTGCTTGGCTTAAATCTGGTTTTCTTTTCAACCCCCCAAAAAAGGGGGACCATCCCCCCAAACAACCAAAAAAAGCCAAAACACCATGAACGGCACACCCAAAAGAGGCCTGTAGTACTCGTAGGAGTTTCTAGCGCAGCTCCGCTCGCTGGAGGCTTTCAGCACATCACCACGGAGGTCACCATCCCACGCATCGAAATCTTCCGCGACGCCTTGCTGGAGCTCTTCGCCTCGGAGCTGGGCGACGACATCTTTACCCCCGACGCTCGCAAGAAAACGCGCGGGCGCGAAGCCGCAAGTGTCTTTGTCGGGGGAAAACGGGTTTGGGAGGGTCCCCCTTGTTCTGGGGCTTGGCCGTTTTTGAGCCAAGATAGTGTTGTCCAGTTTTTAGGGAAGCTGCCAGCAATTCAGGGCCCCTGGGTTTGGGTAGGTATTTGCTTTGAGTTGGAACCCCCTGTTTCCCTGAGTTTCAATGTGAGACGAAAGGAGAACCATCAATGAAGAAAGACGCACCGTTTAGGTGGCTCTACCTGCTCTTTGTGTGGTAAGGCTCATCGGAACCTTTGTAGCCATTTTGCTGTTGGGCACTGCTGAACAGGGTTTGGGGTTTGGGCGCCGCTCGTCCACTTTCCCCCGTTTGTTGAGTGAATTCTCCACCGACGGAATCAACGAACCAACGAAATCCATGTTTGGGTTCCGAATTTCCATGTTGACACCTGCACATTTGGGTGTCACTGTTTCGGGGCGCCGCTTTGTGATCAAAGGGAAACCACTCGTTTTGGGGGTTCCCTAAAAACTGACACGCCTATTTGTCTTTTTGGGTTTTCTTTGGTGCTCCCACAGCCCTCGCATCCCCAGGACGTTCGGATCAGCTTGGCCCGCATCTTCCACTACATGGGCGGGGCCTCTCTGCTGGATTCCGCGAAACTGAACATGACGCCCTGCAACTGAAGATGAGTTGCCCCAAAACGGGGTCCGATCCCAGTTAGGCTTTTCGAAAGTGAAGGTTTCCTGGGTTAGTTGGGCCCCAGGTTGGTCTGTAGTACTAGTACTTGTTTGTTTCTTTACTTCTTTTTTTTTCTTCGCAGCCTCGGCGGCCATTCGGAGATGCTTCGGCCCGCTCGTGGGCCTTATGAGCATATCTGAGCTCACCGCATCTGACACACCGCATCTAAACCCAAAGGGCGGACCTGGACTTTGTGGTTTGGGATTCAACCGGCTCCAAGGACTCAGGACGCGGAGCATAGGATCCGGGGAGAGATCCATTCAAAAACCACTGGCCTGTAAATTGTGTGGACGAGATGTCGCGGCAAAAGCAACTTCCGGGGTGATTTGGGGTCTGAAAACAGGGGAACCCAAAAAATGGATGGTTCCCCTTGGGTTTCCCTTCGGCCTAAAAGAAAGACACACCCATTCTGCGGATGTCTCTATTTCATGGTAGACATCGCCGTGCAAGGCTTTCATCTACGTGCGCAACAACTACTGGAGCCGACTTCAGCTGATTGCACAATGCTGGGCGCTGGCCAACAGCCGTGAAAAGGAGGAGCCGCAGAGCCTGTTTTGGGTGGTTCATCCCCCACCGGCGCGGCAAGATATCAAACCAGCCCTTGGTCCCCGACCAGTTCTACAGGGAAGGCGTCACGGTAGGATTCCCAGGCCACCCACGATGAAATGCAATGGTTTGAACAAGTCTCGAAAGACTGGCCGAAAACCCTGCTCCCCACCTGTAAAGGGGCACCGGCACAACCCCTGCTTCTGATGTGTCTTGTGGGTGCCAGGGAACCAATGGAGAGGGGGCGTTCTTCCTCATTGGCGCTGGGGAATTCGATTCCAGCCAAGCAAACCGCCAGGAGAAACATCACCTTTGGGAAAGGGAACTTTCCAACATGCAGTGGGGTACTAAGACTTTTGATTCCAAGGAAGCCAAAGGCAAGCAATCGCCGGGGAATGTGACCTTTTTAGGGGCTTACCAAGGGTTTCACCTTTTGATCTGGGGGGTGATTTTTGATTTTTGCCCACTTGCAATTTGCAAAATGTGGGAGGAGCGAATCGGAATTTGGTTTGGAGCTGGTTTCCGCCCATACTCTTGTTTTGCGAAAACGGGGGAACAACTCCTTTCCAAGCTGCCAACTGCGGAATAGGGCTGATCTTTGTGCGCTTGCTTGAACAGCATCAGGGGGAACTCCTGGAAAGCCCTTCATGGGGCCCTTGACCCGTGAGCCACCGCGCAGGAGGAGGAGGAAGAGGGGCAAAGCGTGAAGGAGAAGGAGGACATCGTTGCCTCCAGCCGTTCCTATACTTGCGGTGTTCAGTAGGGAATGAGCCAGGATGTTGGAAATGAACCTAGGGATTCAGGGCTGCAGCCCCTTTTTGTAGCATGTTGAAACATGTTCGAGCAGTTTGCCTTGGGTTCACCTTGAGGGGGCCAGGATTTGGATTGAACGCTTGCCCAACTCCGGTTTGCTTTGTTTTTCTTCGGGTTGCCAATGTTCCGATCGGGATTTCGATTTGCTTTCGCGCAATTGCCGCAAGGAGCAAAAGAAGAAGGACGCGAAAGAAGGAGCAGGCCGTTGGCCTCTGGGATGCGCCTCTGGGCCCACGTCTCGTTGGCCTGAAATGGGATGCGAACCAAATCTGAGAGGCCCAAAGCATGCCCTTCAAAAGCCGGGGCCTTTAGAGTCACATCGCCATACTCTTTGCAATATTTCTGGGAAAGTTTTCCACACCGGTCCAATGCTCGGTTCTGGTGTGCTTCATAAACTGGAAAGGCCTGGGGTGGAGGCATGAACTTTGCCCGAGGTTCCATGTGCGCGGATGGCACACTTTTGAGATCTCACATCAGTAACCTTTCTGAGAAATAGATCACAACTTCTTGATTGCTGTTGGTTATGCCTGCTGCCGGCTTCCGCCCTTTCGGCTTAGACATGCATACAGAGTGGCTCATGAGCGGCTGCGGAGCACGCAGTGGCTGGTGAGGCCAGTTTCACCCAATTCGCGAAGTGAGGCATGGGAGTGTGTGTGGCTAAGCAAGCCACAGCACGAGATGGGCAGAGCCCGGAGAATGGTCGGAAAGCCACGTTGTCCGATCAACTCACCATCTCCCTGGAAACTTGGCAGCAATCTTTGGCGCTTTCCTCCGTTTGGACCGGTTTTTGTGGACTTCTTGTTGAGCAGCCTTGGGCGATCAATGAGGGCTGCTTGTGATTGGCAGGAGTTGTTCTGTGCCGGTTCTAAGAGTTCGGCAGGGGCAACGAACCCCGAACCTCTGTCCGAGTGGCGGTGGTGTTGGTGTTGGCGGTCGGGAGTGTGAACGTTCCCTTTTTGGTGGGCTTTCACATTTCCTCTGATTGGTTGAGCTTCCATTCCCATTGCTCGGCTCGGGCCCTAGGCCGGAAAGACCCAATGTGGCCAGGGCCCCCCAAGCTTGTGCATAGGATCTAGCCTCCCCCTCTTTCAAGCAAGCCAAGACCATCATGGTCGACTGAAAGAGGGACAATCACGCCTGGAGCCTCAGACAAGTTTCTATACAAGGAGCATCAAGGAGCCTCCACCCACCGCTGATTCAACCAAGTAGCTTCACGGAAAACCATGTAGACAAAAACGAGCTTAATAATTGCAAATGCAGTACAAGACTCTGTTGAGCGGATTTGTTGCAGGGCTGATCTGTAGATCGCATTGTTAGATGCTTTTGATGTCATCATGTCATGCGTAAGCACGGTCAGAGACACAGATGAGTAGATGTATTTCGAGGCCCTGTGCGCCAAGAAACTAAAGGCTCATCGCCATGTTGGCTCAAGGTATCACCGAGGTTGGGTTTGCGCATGTATCAAGGTTCTGAAGGAGGAACATTGAGGGAGGCAGACGAGCACATGCATATAGTAGACGCCAGGTGCCGTCAGCATGTGATTGACGGGCAGGGTGTCATAGATGAGAACATCGATGATGCGCACATGTAGCGGGACGCGTGCCATTTGGCGGCCAGAACTGCAGCTATCAGGTCGCATTGGCGGAGGCTTATCTGCAGCCTTTGCAGTTTCTGTGACACATATATGTCTGTAACGCGGGGAGCGTTGCATGCATTGGAACAGATGGGTGGATCTGCTCAGCCGTTTGTCCCGGCAATCGTTTCATGCCTGGAGGACACTGGTACCTCTGTCCGCGCTACAGCTATCGACATTTGTGGAAGCTTTGCTTTACGTTCGGCTTGCAGCATGCTTGTGAACCCTTTGCCGCTGTGATCAAGCTTCGTCTCGATGATCGGAACAGCCACATTCGAAGAAGCGCGATTCTGCTTTTGAACACGTTCTCATGCGATAGCCGGACTTGGTTGTTCCTAAGCTTTGTCTTATGTTGGAGCCCGACTTGGCACTCCAGGTGCTAGGAGAGCAGGGCGCCGCCGCTCAGCCTTACCTTGGCCAAATGATACGGCTGCTGCAGGACCGTGACCCGGGCATCAGGCGTTGCGCTATTGAAGCAGTCCTAAAGGTCGCGCAGCCGAAGTCTGGCTGCCACACACTTGCTGCCCAAATGCGTGGAGGCGCTACGTACAGTGAGGCTCAAGATTACTGCCGCCGGAGGAGCAAGATGCTCAGGCGGCAAAGGAAACGGATATGTTGATGATATCGTTCCCGCTGTGCGCGAGTGATGTTTGGAGCAAAGCTCCTGCGGGTTCCTGGGCCAATGGCCAAATTACAGCTCGCAGAAACCCAAGAGCTCTGCAGAAGCAAGCTATACAGGAAGGTGTGAAAATGGTGTGGCTCATACAGTCAGACTGTTTGATAAGAAAAAGGCTTACCATGGCCCATTCTCAATAGGGGCGTCTAGCAATAATTTGGCGAGCGAGAATCTGACTTCTTATCCAAGAGTTTATCGGCGAGAGCTGATTGCAGAATCACAGTGTGGCCAATACCCATAGGGAAACAGTTGATATGCGCTATATGCATGCACTTTCAACATCACCCTTCCTGTCATCCTCTCATACGCCACAGCTTAACCAACTGCATGGGGGGCATCCCAACCAGAATAGTATAACGGCCACCTGGACTACACAACAACGATGATGCCGCAAAAAGGCGGTGTAGCTTTCATACTGCCACGAGGTGATCATATTGTTTGTGGAATTATAGTGACAAGGGGCACACCTAGTGACTTCTGATTGATCTACGGCCGGTGCCTGTAAAGTTGTTAGCTATGGCCCTGACCTTGGAGCCCATCAGGTCTTCTCATGAGCAGCTGTTAGCAGCTATCCCAGCCTAGGCTTGTCCTTGTGCGCCCCATAAAAACCAACAGCTCGTGGTTGCCCAGCTGAGTTTTTCTTCCTCTTGGAAAGGCGCTTGAAAAACGGCAGTGTGCAGAGCCCTTTGCCTCCCCCCAAAAGCGCACCCCCCGTTGGCCCGCGTGGGAGACCCAGCGGAGGGAATTCCGGGTGACAGGGGAGTGATCGGGATAGCGTGCAAAGATCGAGGACAGAGCCAAACAGATGTCCTTCAACGCCGCCTCCACTCACGCTCGCTACCACAATGGTCGCAAGCTGGAGGAGGATTATGAGGCGAGCGGCATCCTTTCTGGCTTGTTTTTTGGGAAGGAGTTTCTGGAGAATTCGTGCTGGTTTCTAAGAATCATCGACCGGAGATCTTCAATTATATAGTATCTTTCTTTAGTGGTTGAATGAAGGGCTTTCCAGGTACGGGTTCTGTTTGGAGGTTGTGTGCCACGTATTCAAGGAGCCTATATTGGTGACATACATGCCCTCATGCCTCCAACACCCAAAACTGCCCTTGATTGGAAGGTTCGCAAGGCATTGGATAGACTGTGGGTGGACCAAATCCTGCACCACCTAAGAATCCCCGGCATGATGATTCCCTTGCAAATACCAACAAACAATGGTTGCTCATGGTTTCCGAGTGGTGCGAAATGGATTTCGTCCACCCACCGTGCCACCCCCTCTGTCCTGAAGGCACGAGTCATAGGCGAGCCACTCGGCCCTGCTCGCTGGATTCGATCTGCCTTTCTTTGCCAAAACCACGGGGGGCGCAGCCAAAGAACCGAAGAGCTTCAGCTTATGTCCCCGGAAGGCAAAGCCCCTTGAAGATTGTGTCCTTAGATTCCCTATCACTGCACGAGATGTGAGTTTGTACCACCCCTTTTTGATTGAAGTAGGGTTCCCTGGGCAAAATGTGTAGTCAACCACGTCTTCACCACGCATTGCGAACAATGGTTCCCGCAAAATCTCATGCCCACCCTCCAACTGGCTACACCTATCACTTCACAGCCAGGCTTGGTCGCCCTTGTCTTTGCAGTAGTCCAACATGATATCAAGGTACCCTCCCACAAATGCTATCAGGGATCCTCCTTTCCAGCCCAGAACCCTAGTCAAACCCTGATGTTTGAAAAACGTAAACCATGGTAGAAAAACAAATGGAAAAACAATCACCCTCAACCGATTTTTGAGTTCTTTTGATTTTGAGAGGGGAGGTGCGTTTTCACTTTTCTGGCCGGGTGGAGAAAAACCATAGGTGAACTTCAAGAAGGTGCTGGGGGAAGGCTGCAGTGGCTTAGTCGTCATGGCCAAAGGCCGCCACGATGGACGCAAGCGCCTCGAACACAGGGGGCCCAACATGGGAACGGGATTTGCCGTATGGCTCCCGTTTGAAACGGGGGCAACGGGGCCCAATATTTCAACCGGTGGTGCCCCTGTTTGAAACAGGGGGAGTACCTGCATTTGCCCTCGGGGTGCTTCAGCATTCCTTTTTGTCTCGGCCCTTTGCATGTTGCTTGCTGGCGGTTCGTGGGGCAGGGTTTGGAAGGAGTTATGCAGGGAACTTGCAGGGACCCCTCGTGCCCTGCGTGTCGGGCAAACCCGGCTCAGAGTTTGATCAGGTGAACAAACATTCACGCCTCTGTTTTCTCGCCTGCGCAAGCAAGTTTTCGTTGAGAGGTTGGGATCTGTTTTTTGAAGCTGCTGACTTGCAAACGGTGGAAACAACTCATCCAACATCGGCCAGTATTCCTAAGGAAGATCCAGACGTTCAACTCTGCGTTTTTGTTGTGCCTTTTGATTTGTATCTTGACTGCGGTGGTGGTGGTGGTGGTGGTGGTGGTGGTGGTGGTGGTGGTGGTGGTGGCGGTGGTGGTGGTGGTGGTGGTGGTGGTGGTGGTTTGGTGGCGCGTTGTGATTTGTAACTTCGCTTTTTGTTTGGTTGGATCTGTAACCTTTCACGTGTCACGGAGGTGGTATACAGTGTGCCTCCCCACCACAACGAAATGGTTAGCTGCCTTTTTGCATGGTGCACTCACCACAAAGGCGAAATGCTTGGAAGGCGTTACCAGGTGATCATGCTTTTGGATGCTTCGGCTCTTGCGGCTGGGTTGTTCAAAACTAATTGGGACTCCTTATGCCAGACTGTTTCGTTGTATCGAGGGGGCCTGGACTCCATTCTGGAAAAGTCAGTGAGGGCGGCGAAACTTTGGTTCCGAGGTACGCATTGAAGAGAATTCACAAGCTCAAGGTGCAGGCCAAGGTGTTGAAGCAGTTGACAGCAGAGGTGGAGATCTATTTGATGCTTGATCATCCTCACATCGCTGCTCTGAGACTCACCTCTTTTTTGCACAGTCTTTTCCTCACTTGAGGACAGATGTCTTCATTTGTTCAACCCTCAAGGCGCAACTCGTTTTATGGGTATGTTTCTTCGTCTTCGTCACTTTTTTCTGGCCTCTCAGATCTTCTCAGGAGAGATGTCTATGAAAACGATAGCGAGATCGCATTGCTCACGGAGTGCTGTGAGGGTGGGGCATGGAGGTTGTCGGCCTACATTTGGTGCTTTACCCTTTGTTTCTGACAAAGCGCTGTGATTTTTCATGCTCGGAAAACAGGGGTAACTGGCGCAAGTTCAAGAGCACACTTTGAAAGTGTGTGAACCAGTGTTTGTCTTCTTTGCTGTGGGGACACAGCAGCATACAACAGCCGTTGCGTTGAAACAGGACTTCAATGACTTCAATCAGGTCCCGGAAGCTTTCAAGGAGAGAGTCGCCCCAGATTTTTCCTTTTAGCCATCGTTTGCATTTGGCGATGGAAAGTCCGCACCTGAAAGATCCCAGATCCCAGAAAATGCAGAAACCCCAGATCCCAGAAAGCCAGCCTCTACGGCACGAAAAATGGAAGCCCCAGCCCTTATGCGCCTCCGGGCGTGGTCCCTGAGGCTGTTTGGGGTCCGTAGGTCTCTTGGCTTTTTGGTTGGATCTTTGGACTCAAGCTTTTTGAGAAACTGTGGAGTTTCCCTTGGACCCCTTGCTTCCTGATGTCATGGAGTTTAAACTTTTTGGGAAAACTGCTTTAGTGGTACACAAAAGGTTCAGACTTTTTCTGGCCAATCCACTCAGGAAGTGAGAAAAGTCAAGCTTTTTGGTTAACAGCATCAAAGATCTGGCAGCCCTTATTTGGTGGTCTGGATGTGTGGTTTTGGGATTAGGGGCCAAGCGGATTACAGGATACATTTTGGGCCAGTTCAATGCAGCTCACTTTTAGAACACTTTTCTCCCAGCATTTCGAGCATCCAAATCCTTGTAAAACAGATTGGTTTTTCGAAGTGCTTGAGGAACCCTGGGCTTCAAAGCATAGTTCCGGTCCAAATATTTCCCGTTGTGGGTGGTTTAAACAGACATAAATCCTCACCTAAATGATGTCAACCGTGCCCCATTAAATTCTAACCCATATTCTCAGGTAATCCCTAATTGTTGGATTGGTTTGGATTTAGATTGGACCTGGTGTTTGAACGAAAAATGGGGTTTTCCAACCCCACCAAACCAAGTCCCTGGGCTCCAAATTAGCAATTCGGAGGGTGAAATTCCCTGTCGCCCAGCCGGGCCCAGGCTGCCTCTCGAGTTTCGTTAGGCGGTGAGCTCTACTCCCGCCTTTCCAGCAGCGGGACCTACGCAGAGCCAGATGCGGCGGAGGCATGCGGCGTCGGGGGGCCGGGGGCTGGCCCCGATTTCCCACGAAACCCCGGGGCCCAGCGAGGTGTTCCATGTCACCTTGGCCCCTTGGGGGAAAGTAGCAATGACTTAGGGCCTTAGGGGTTTTGAGGGTATCTTGGATGAGTTGGAGGAAGCCACATGAATGCTGTTCGGGTTGCAGTGCTTTCTTTTCAACCGGAGAAGGTGTTGAAAGGTCGCTTCAGGTTAGGGGGTCCTTTCTGTTGAATGAAGAGAAGGTCTAGAGGTCATTGCTACAGCGCATCGCTTGCCGCACCGAGTGCAGTGCCTTCACTTTGCTCGCTACTCTCATCCAGGGATCTGCGATTTTGGGCACTTGAGAGTTTCGGCTTAATCTGTCGTTTGGATTGTTGTCTTGGGGGTTTGAACTTCGAACCCCTTGTTCTTAGAGAGGGTCAATGAGAAGCTGCCACCCTAACCTCCAAACCAACCACCGATCCAGTTTCGGGTTTCTCAAAATAGTGGACCAACATATTGATGTTTCTTGAAGCTAGCTGCACACCACCAATGGTCCAAAAACCAGCTACGTCTGTTTTTGAGGGGACCTCTCTCCGGCTCGCCGGCTCCCGACGGAGGCCACGAATCAGATGCTGCTGGCGGTGGGTTACCTGCACGCGCACCACGTGGTGCATCGGGACTTGAAGTTGGAGAACTTCCTCTATGAGACCACGGAGGCGCTTAACGAAAAAAGAAAAAAAAACGTCGAAGATGAAGACAGAAGCCTGGAGGTGCAAAGTCTTCATTTTTCTGGAAAAATAGCAAAATCCAACTGGTTGGTCTTGAAAGGAATCGTTTTGCTACTACTGGCCATGTTTTCTCGCGTGTTTCAGGGGGCTACTCCAAATGGAGGAAAGGCTTTGGACCCGCCTTTGCTCCCTATACATGTTCCATTCAAAAATCATTCCACTGGAAGGAAGCTCGCTTTCTTGCACAACGATTGCACATTTGCCCAAAGGTAATGTGCAAAAAACGCAAGAGGAACTATATGGAACCCTGACTCAGTTGTTCAGTGGATCCCACATTTTGCTCCAGAAGCTTGCCGGCTTCTCCACTTGAAGTTGTGAATGCCAAAAAGGATTACACTTCTTTTTCTACCGGCATTGAACAACTGGGGGGGGATTCCAGGCTTGTCGTGGGTGCATTTTCGGAAGGATAAGTATGCTCCTTCCATCTTCCCCACATGGGCCTTTCCCTTTTGCTTCCCATGCTCCCCGCCATCTTTCACCGGGGTTCCCCTCTTTCCAGTTGCAGGGGAGCGCGCCCCTTTATTTCCGATGTGTAAAGAGCATATGTGTTACAAACCGCATGTTCTTTGCCATTCCCAATTCGCGGAACCAACAAGACTCGAGAAACAAATAGGGGGGGGGGGGAAGATCCGATCTCTTATGTTTTAAGGGGTGGCCTTGGCCACCAGAATTTGGCAACCTTCTGCAAATTATGTCCCTTGCGCGTGCCGGTGGATGTTTGCATCCGTTCTTACCTTTATCCATGTGGTTCCCCTTGTTCATGTTCCTTCCTTTTCTGCCAACACGTTGCCCGTTCCCATGTTCCCTCCTCCTATTTCTTCTCAACGGCTGACTTCTTCGCTTGTCCCGTCTGACAAGCAAATGGCCTGCGCCCGCCAGGCCAATAGCTGCCTGAAGCTCATCGACTTTGGCTTCGCCAAGATTTGGGACCCCTCCACCCTGATGATGGCCTCCTGTGGTAGCATTGCTCCCCGGCGGCTGGCAACGAGACGGTCGGGGGGGTTTGGGGAGGAAGGAAGGGGTCCCAGGAAGGGCAATGGGTTTTGGGCAGAGGGAAAAGAACAATTTTGTGAGGGGAAAGTCCCCATTTCTGGAATCTAGGTGTTTGAATGGCTTTCTGGAAGCAAGTTAGCAGGGCCCTCCGCCAGACTATGTTCTATCTTGGGGTAGGCATTCGAAAAAATAATTGGAACGTAGGGGTTTGCAGGAAGCACACCTGGGAGAGAGGTCGAAAGAACATCGTCAATTCCAGGTGTTTGGGCTTCCCCCCCCCCCCCCCCCTTGGGCTATTTGAGCGGCCTCGGGGGCCTTTCCGGTGGCCCTTGTTTTTGGTGTCTGCCATGTTCAAAAGATATAGCGAGCCTGAAGAATGTCGGGTGTTGCACGAACTCGGTTTGTTTCGAGTTTCTCGAGGTTCCTGACTCACCCAGAAAGCGTCAAGAGCAAGGTGTCGTGTTTGTACCTTGTGTGTGTGTGCTTCCTGTTCAGCTTTGGTATTGTTTGTGTTTGTTTGGTGTTGTGTCCCTTTGGATCAAGCCCAGTTGCTCAGTGCATTCCACCCACTCAATCCTTGTTTTTGCCACTGTAACCAAATCATCTCTTACATAAATTCCTTGAAATCCCGTAAACTTCCATCAAAAAAGATACAGCACCAAAACAAAGGATGCCTTTTTTGTACTGAACGCACGAGTTGCAAGCGGCCGATCTGAGGCTTATGTGAGCCCGGATGTCCTCAAGGGAGAAGGTGCCTGGGACGTGTCCGGGGCTGTACTTTTCTTCGCCGCTCTTGGCAGGGTCTTTACTTTTTAATGAGTAGGCACGCTGCTGAACCAAGGGCAGAAAAACCTGGTATGCCCGAGCGGTGCTTGCCACTTTGCCCCTTGCTTTTCGTTCAAGAGCTGAGAGCTACGGGGTCTCTGCAAAGCAAGTATGTATTTCTTCCTATCCATGGATACATGAAACTGATTGTTCCTTGGGGAGGGGAGGCAGCTGTAGCCTCTAGCATAGGGCTGCGGGAAAAAGGAGGTGAACAAAACCGATGAGCAGGTTCGTCGGAGAACTGTTTGGGGATGTGAGGAATGTCTCCGGTTGCGTTTTTCATTTTCAGACGTGGCTGCGCACCCTGGAACCCACCAGCTGGACTGACGAGAAATCCAGTGACCCCTGACATGCTTTCCACCTTCTGATGGCGGCACAGCCGTTGGCAGTTTTGTCGACGGATTGATCAAGCCGGGAAAATTAATATAGAGGATGCTCCCCACCCCAAAGGCAATGGATTTCCCCTCAAGCAGGTTGCACCATTGTTTTTTCATCTTCATCAGCAGGGCAGAATGGTAGCGGGGTGTTCCCCAACATTTGATCTGGATTCCCTATCAAATGGGGGGGGTGCCTCATCCTTTTCAGCTTGGTTTGAAGGGAAACGGCAAGGACACAGCAGTTTGAGGGTCCGAAGCTCTATTTTGACACATACCCACGAAGGAAAGCCACCATATACCGCCTATAACTGCTATGCAGAGGGTGGCTATCATGGTTTCCCGTTGAGTTTTGGTAGTGGTTTCGGGTTCATGGAAATCACCAATCTCAGACTAAGGGAAAAGGGAATGGATTTGGCTTCCAGGGGCTTGTGCTAAGGCCTATATAGAGAAACCTGAATACCAATGTTATCACAAAAGTCAATGGGTTTTGCGTGCTTCTCACTTCGCTAGCCATACCGTGGATGGCCTAAATCCTGCACCACCAAAGAAACTCTGGAATGATGATTTGCCTGGAAATGCCGACAAACGTTGTGGTTTCAACCGTGGTTTCAAAGTAGTGCGAGCAAATTTTGTCCATCAGTAGGTGCCCATTCAAGACTGGAGAAGCCTTTAGGCTACACCAGCAAGTGCGACCTTTGGAGCTTGGGGGTCATCGTCTTCATGCTCCTCGTGGGGTATCCGCCTTTCCACGGCAGCGAGAAGGACCGAACCTGACCATCGAGCGAATCGAGTCGGTGGAGCATTCCGAGCCCCAAAAACGAACGAGAGGCTGGAATTTGGGGATGCATTTGGGCCTTAGATTGCGATGTGCCTCCCCCTAGAATGGCTAAGTTTGGTTTCAATGCACCCCAAGCCCCGGCCCCTGTTCCAACTTATGTAGGACCCTACTGGGTTTCAAGAGCTGGAACCTTCTCACAAATGATGGACGTGAATCTTCGCTGAAATGATGGCCGCAAGAAAGAACACCATTTCATTTCCAGGTGCTTGAAAATGGCCAGTGCGCCCTCGAGGTATGTTTGCAACCACGAGCCAACCTAAAACCTATGCGCACCGTGCTGCCATCTGTTGTACAAATGACGCTTTATTTTTTGAAGAAGCACGGGCCAAGACACCCAAGCCAACCCATCCTTGCCCATTTTTTTTTGGGGGGGGAGGGGGGGCCGCCCTGGATGTCTATTGAACGCCACTCTTTGTGGCCAGCCACAGCCCAAGCCTCGCAGTGATCGTTGGGAAGGACGCGTTGGCCAAGGTTTAATAAGAAAAACTCCGTGACAGAGGTCAGTGTCACAGATGGTGCTGCCCCATCTACGCAACGGGCTTCGACCACCAACTAAGGGTTACTTGGCTGGAAGCCCTGAACAAAGTTCGGCTCCCCAACAACGGAGTGTGTGGGTGTGTGGGTGTGTGTGTGTGTGTGTGGGTGGGTGGGTGGGTGGTGGGTGGGTGGGTGGGTGGGTGGGTGGGTGGGTGGGTGGGTGGGTGGGTGGGTAAAGGCCAAGCCCGAAACACGAGGGTCGTCACCTCCAACGCCTCACGCCTCCACTTGCACAGGACATGCGCACCAATATCCTGGCAGCAAGCGTTGACTGGAGCCACAAGAGCCGATGGCGCAAGGTGTCGGAGGACACATTTCGTTGGTTGCCAGAATGATCAGACCGTGCTTTTCTTTGGATTGCTCACCCCAAAAATGGAACCCTTAAACAATAGATCATGTGGGGGGGGGGGGGGGGTTGTGGAGTGCACCCCAAAAAAAGCGGTCTTCCAGCCCAAAAATGTGCACTCTCAATACTTAACTCAAAACACAAACCCATGTCATATCTTTCCACACGAAATGTGGAACCCTTGAACAAGCCACAGGCCCATGTCACAAATATCTCGGACGAGGACGCGGTGGATTTCGTGAAGTGCCTCCTGACGAGGGAACCTTCACAGCGCATGGACGTCGCGGAGGCATTGAGCCATCGGTGGATCAAAGCGCGGAACACCAAAGGCCGAAGACCCTCCTTGGACAAGGACCCCAGCTGAGGTTCTTTCAATCGCTGGCGCTTAGGATCGTTTCACCTCTGTGTTTTGCATGGTTGCAAGTGCTTGTCCACTATAG